AGGCCCCGGCCCCCAGGCCCTCGCCTGCGAGCCCCAACCCCGGGCCTGGCTCCAGGGTGGGGCCCCGGTGACGTCAATCCGGGCGACGTGAACCTCTTTGATTTATTTATTGTCATCATCAAGGCGGGGGGTTGAACCGCTATTTGTCTGATCCGTCGCCTAGGACCTGTTTGCCTTGGGAGACCCTATAAGGGCCTTAAGCCCCCGACAACATAGCTCCTAGGGTCATTCGGATACTCAAACCCCTCCACCACGTTAGGGTTGCGATTCAAGGAGGGGCCCTTACACACACATATATGTATATATATGTATATACGTATATATATATACATACATATATAAATACATATATGTGGGTGTAAAGGGAATAATTTTATATATGTACATATATATGTACATGTATAGAATATATATAGGGAAGAATTTTATATATGTACATAAATATGTACATATATAAAATTCTTTCCTTACACATATATGTATATACAGTATATACACATACATATATATTCACATATATATATATACATATATGTGGGTGTAAAGGGAAGAATTTTTTATATGTAGCTATATATGTATATATATAGAACTCGTCCCTTTCAGGGTTTTTTGGAGTAATTTTGTTTTCACGTCCAAACTGCGACGTCCACTGAGGTTATATATTTATATATTTGAAGGATATGAGGGTGAGGGATCCAGAGGGTGTCGGTGAGCCACCCGCAGCTGTCGTCCTGCTCCTGCAGCCTGTCGTAGGTGGACCTCAGCAGCCCGGCGTCTTCTTCGTCCAGACCCTCCCTCCAAAGGCTGTGAAGGATTCTCCTCTCCTCCCGTAGAGAGCGCCCCCTGTAGGGATGAGTCCTTTTGCTCCATCTGTGGCCGTGGTGGACTCTCCATCTCCTCATTGCCTTCCTCCACTGTTTTATCCTTAAAAAGTTCTTGTCCTCGTGCCAAAGGCCCAGCACGTTCTCCAGACCCTGTAAAAGTTTCGTTTTGGAACTGGTCCACACTCGCGTGGACCCTTGGACAGTGTCTGGAGACGGTTCTGAGAGGCTGCACGGCGAGGACACGGAACCAAGACCGTCATCGCTCAACACGGACGGTGAGTCCGGCAGAGTGGGTGTGCGTGTCCTCCTGTGAACCAGTGCTCTACGTGGTAGAAAAATGTCTCTCCCGGGGGTCTTTGGGGCTAATACATACGGATTAGTGGACAGGGGCGGTACAGTCGGGGGACTGCTCAGGGGTGAGCCCTCGGACAGTAGCGTGTGTTTCCCGGGTGTCGCTGGAGCTCTCGCGGAACTGAATGGCGTCCAGACGCTGGTCTCCTCTCTACCAGGGGTTTTAGGCACTTCCTGGTAAATGTCAAACGAAGCCAGGGGTAAGTCCGCGTGAACTTCCACGAGGTCGATGCTCACGAGGGGGGAGAGGGAACAATATTCACTGGCGTCCCCCGAGTCCTCCCCCTCCAGTTCAAGCACCGTTCCTTTGCCTGGTGTTTGTGGACGTTCCACCTCCTGCACAGCAGGGGACGCTGGTTTGCTCTTAATCAGAATGTCAGGGTCGCTGTCCCCCAGGTATCCTGTCGGAGTCGCGGGTCTCAGGTTGTCACTGTGTTCTGGAGACTCCGCCGTCCACGGAGGGCTCGTGATTTCAACGTCCAGGTCTGGTTCGACTGTAAAAAGTTAAAAAAAAATTACGATGGTATCACTTGAGCCCTGAATTTTTATTTTTTGAGATTTTTCTGCCGATGTATTTACCTGAGAGTTCTAGAGGGGACGGAGGATCATGGTGCCGGCTGGTTTTCAGTTCCATCAGAGTGTCGAAACCATCTATGTCCCGTTGACAGGATAAATATGGTTCCTTGTCCGACCTGGTGTCCGACCTCTGGTACGGTTCTGACCAGTCCTGCAGACACAAGTCCAAGTGAGCGCCCGGTGTCAGTGGAGCTGCAGAATTCAGGGGAGGCTCCAGATCCACCGACTCCTCATCTGACGTCAACGTCAAGACGCAGTTTCTTGTCTTCACACCGTCCTCCATGTCTTCATCCTCTGGACAGAGGTTGGAAAAGGAAGAGTCCTCAAAAGTCTCTGAGAAGGAGGAGGAGTCGCAGTCTGAAGAATATTCACTGTCCCCTGAGGAGCTGCTCTCTGAGAGAGAGTCTAAAATAGTTAATAACAAAAACAAATTAGTTATGTCATCAATTACACCAGAGCTACCATTAGCTACAACCGTCCTGGTACAGAGACCAGAGCTAACGTTAGCTACGACAGTCCTAGTACAGACACCAGAGCTAACATTAGCTACAACAGTCCTAGCACAGACACCAGAGCTAACATTAGGTACAGCAGTCCTGGTACTGACACCATAGCTAACGTTAGCTACAACAGTCCTGGTACAGACACCGAGCTAACGTTAGCTACGACAGTCCTAGTACAGACACCAGAGCTAACATTAGCTACAACAGTCCTAGCACAGACACCAGAGCTAACATTAGCTACGACAGTCGTGATACAGACACCAGAGCTAATATTAGCTACAACAGTCCTAGCACAGACACCAGAGCTAACATTAGCTACAACAGTCCTAGCACAGACACCAGAGCTAACATTAGCTACGACAGTCGTGATACAGACACCAGAGCTAACATTAGGTACAGCAGTCCTGGTACTGACACCAGAGCTAACGTTAGCTACAGCAGTCCTGGTACAGACACCAAATGTGATTCATTTAGATAAATTAATTAAAGATAAATTCATTTTCTAATCCTGTTATTAATTAGACCTGTTCATCTTAGGTTCCACCACTAGGCTGATTAATGACTGGACGACTCACCACCTGCTGAGCCCTGCAGTCCATCACCAGTGTCGGGGACGATGGAATCGTGACCCTGTGTGGATTCCTCCATCTCAGTCTTGGCCCGACCGTCCAGCTGACCTTTATCAGGATCGCGACGTCCCTGAGACTGGACAACAGAGCAGGTAGACGACAGGACAGACAGACTGAGATCGGCCTTGGTTTCTCGGGTGTCTCGAGGAACCGCAGCCTCTGTTCTGTCTGAAGACCTCTTTGATGTCTCTGTGNGAACCGCTTTCATCTTTTCTTCCACCATCCCCCTCCTCCTCCTCCTCCTCATCACTGTCGAGCACCTGGGGTCTTGCGTGTCTGCGTTTCGACCTCACCGCGACCTCCTCCTGGTTTATGTCTGACGACCACGGAAATGTAAAAACACAATATATAATTATATAATTAATTAGTATCGTTAGTATCAGGTGTTAATCGTTAAACTGACCAGGAATTTCGTTCGTTGAGGGAACAGAACTTTCTGCGTCGTTGGTCGAAGCCACGTTGTCGAGACGTTTTCTTTTCAACTGTGTCAATAAATGAATGTTGGTGAGGATGATGATGATGAGGTGACTCAAAAAGACGACAAGTTACCTTGAAGGACGGCAGGGATTTTCTCTTGCCCTGGCTGCAGGTGGCGCTGAGGGCAGTCGCTCGTCTTTTGTCCGGACCGCCTCCGTGTTTCAAAGGAGAAGCTTGAATCTTAAAAAAAAAAGCAACAAATTCTCATTAGAATAAATGTCGTTCAGTCAAAACGTCCTCATCGGACAGTGGACAGTGGACAGCTCACCTTGGTCTTCCTCTCCTGACCGTCCCACCAGTCCTCGAAGGCCTTGAAGGACAACCCCTCCACCAGCCTGCGCGTGATGTCCTTCCTGATCACCGACTTCAGTTCGGTCACCACGACTTCTAAAACCTTTTCCAGCGTCACCTTATGAGGGTCTTCCTGCGCCGGAACCCTGACCGGTGGTGGTGGAGTCGCAAAGTGGGTGAAACCGGGGAAAGGAGGCGCGGGCCAAGGAGGGGGAGGACGGGGTGGGGGTGTGCCGCCGAGCCTCGGAGGGTTCCTCTGATCCACATTTGTCGGAGGCGGTATATTCATGGGCACAGGAGGGAGGAGAGGAGGGGGCCCCATCAAAGGAGTAGAAGATCCAAAAAAAGTTGGTGGAGGAGGAATGGACGGATGGGGAGGTGGCGGGATCGGGGGAGGAGGAATGTGGATCCAGGGAGGGCCAATCCAGCTCGGCGGTGGGAACGAAATGGCGCCGTTTGGGAGACGAGGGGGGACGGGGAACGGAAAAGGTGGAATAACATGAGGACGTGAGTTGACAGTGGGAGATTTGTCGTCCTGGCGTTGGGAGGAGACGGGCGGAGGCTGGAGGAGGGAGGTGGTGTCCTTGGTTGGCGTCGGAGCTCCAGTCGCTCTGTTGTCAGACTGTACGTGGAAAAAGACAGTGGTATAAAACTATGGTACCATCGTGGAGGGATGTTCGATTCTGTCCATTAATAACAGTCACTAAAAACTTTCAAAATAAAACATCTTTTCAAGTTTATTCTGGTAGTATCTGAGTCCGAAAAGTCCACATCCCAAATCACCCACGGACCAAGGGTTGGGCACCCCTGCATTAAGGAATATTAAATAAAAACATCATGGCTGATTTAAAAAGAAGAAAAAAAAAGACGTACCTTTGGGTGAGGCAGTGACTGAGGCGGGAGGTCGGAGGAGGAGGAGGGAGACCGGCAGTGTCTGGTGAGAAAGGCAACAGCTCGACTGGTTTCATCCTCCTCGCTGTCACTGACGGGGGCGCTCACGCGAGCCGAACGCCTGTCGTAAGCTGGGCGCGGTCCATTGACAGTCACGGCGCCCTCTACTGAATCCACGTGTGATGATGGGGAATTATGGCCAGAGCAGGGCGACGACGGGCTGTCCCTTAAAGTCTGTGTGTCAAACAGTGGGCCCGCAGTCCCCTGGCTATTCAACAGCAGATTTTCAATACGGGAGTCCAGACTCTCCAGCACTGGCCGACGGTTGCTGGAGGAGCCGTGGACGGCAGCAGCAGGAGGGGAGGAGGAGGTGGTGTCCCTGGGTGAGGCCGGAGGCCGGACACTGAGCTCGCCGTCGTCCTGGGTCTCGGAGGTAGAAATGGTTCCGTCTCTGGATATGTCGCAGGTGGAGGTGCAGTCGAATGAAAATTTTGTGACATTGTGTGTTGAGTTTTCAGCACTGCAGCCCCACAGCGCCACCTGCTGGCTGTTTCCGTGCGTTTGTGAGGACAGAGGGTGAGGTAGCAGGGTGAGGCGGTGCCCTAAGATCGCCTTCACCTCTGACGCTCTGCTGCGTCTCTGCTTGTAACGTGAAGGTTCGTGACGGCGGAGCTGTCGCGTCAGAGCTTTATAGACGGTCAGGACGGAGGGCTCCCCCTGGAAGACTGGAGTTGCCTGAAGACTAGAGTAGCAGGAGTCCTGGGAGAGAGGAGTGGCAGAGAGACAGGGTGTTCCCTGAGACTGGGGCGTCAGTCTGAGGCTACAGGGCGTGTCCTGCCAAATACTGGAGTAGGCTGTATCCAAAGACAGGGGTGTAGCGGTGCTGGAGGGGCTGCAGATGGCGCCGGTCAGCTGAGGGTCTGCTCTGCCCTGAATGTAGGAGAACACAAAGAGAACACACCTGAACGTCTCTTCTTCGTAGGGACCTGACGTCTGGGTTTAAAAACCAAGACGACAATGACCAACTATTTTAGGTGTTTACCGCCACCTACTGTACTGGAGTGGTGTCTGCAGGACAAGTTCTTGACCTGACGTCTGGATTTAATTGCATGTCACAACCAACGTTTTAAGGGCACATACTGCCACCTACTGCACTGGAGTGTGTAGTGTCATGGTATGACCAGTGACTTTTTGTGTGCAATTAATTTTTAATTTTAACCGATTTGCGATGCATTGCTACATCCGTACTTCTCAACAAAAGCAAAAAAACATTGTGACCGGATGTAGACAACGTACCTGCCAAACGTCCACCGAACTTTGCAGATCCTGCTCACTGCTGCCCGCGGGCAGCGTCCCAGGAGTGTAATGTCCACGCAGGAGAAGCTGGAGATACTGGTCTCTGTTTTCCCCTGCATGAGGAAGGAAACGTAAAACGATTGGCCACGTGTGATCAAGTCATCAAATATCACTTATACGGTATCACCCCTAACCTTTGGGATCGACCTCCACGTGGATGATGTTCCCCATGACTGACGTCTGGTGGAGGTTCTGGACGGCGTCCCTCGCGTCCCGCACGCCGTCGAACACAACCCTGGCGATGCCTAAATGTTTCCTGTTTTTGGGATTGTAGAATATTTCCACCTCTTGAATATTCCCATATTTTTGGCACATTTGCGTCAGGAAGGGCTCGTTCACGTTGTCGTTCAACCTGGAGAACGTCACTTCTCTGGGAGGAACGGGTCCAACGTAGAATTCGTCGATCTGGGAAAAATTCATTGTCAAAAACTTAAGACACAGATCTATACAAATGTTACGGTAAATGTAATTACTAAAATGTGTATGTATACATACATACATATATATACGTATATACATATATACATATATACACATACATACAAATATACATATATACACATATATACAGATAAATACATATATACATACATATATACAGATAAATACATATATACATACATATATACAGATAAATACATATATACATACATATATACAGATAAATACATATATACATACATATATACAGATAAATACATATATACATACATATATACAGATAAATACATATATACATACATACATATATACGTATATACACATGTATATACACATACATACATATATACATATATACAAATGTATATAGACATACACACATATACGTTTACTGTATACACATGTATATACATACATACATATATACACATGTATATACACATACACAGATACATATATACCGATGTATATATATATACATATATACATACACATACTGTATATATTCATATATTCATGTGCATATATATACTTATATACACATATATATACATACACATATATACACATATGCATATATTATACATATATACACATATGTGTATTTATATACATACATATATACACATATATGTGTATATATATATACATACATACACACACACACACATATATATATATATATATATATATGTGTGTATATATATATATATATATATATAAACGTTGTCATTCAACCTGAACGTCACTTCTCTGGGAGGAACGGGTCCAAATAGAATTCGTCGAGCCAGGAAAAATTCATCATCAAAAACTTAAGACGCAGATCTATTACGAATGTTACGGTAAATGTAATTACTAAAATGTGTTTTTGATTTATTTTTGTCTACATTTAAAAATGTGAATAAACATAAATGAAGTTCCAATCGCCGTGGTTACCATGGTTACATAACTAATATTTTCATTACATTACAAAACAGTATAAACATATCAGTAATTTTTATGGCAATTTATATAATAATAATAACAATAATCGTATTATTGTTATTATTAAAACAGACCAAATCTCTGCCAGTTGCCAGTTGCCATAGTTAAGGTACTTTACGGTACAATAAACGATCATTATTGTTATTGTTATTAGAAATCCAATGAAGTCCTTGCGGTTGTTACGGTGTCGTTGTTGTTGCTACATTGACGTCTGGAAACCACCTTGAATTTTGGCACCGACAGATCAGTGTCGCTGTTTCTCCTCCACAGGCGGTTGACGCGAGGATCTCTGACAACATCCACAGGAAACAGACCTAAGTCCTCCACCTGTTGGCCGTCAACAACACTGCAGTCAGTTTTAAATATATATATATTTTGTTTTAACTCGCCTACGTGTTCCGTTAAAAACTGCGTTTAAAATCGTCTCACCGGTATGTTGAAGCGCTCTCCGTCGTAGCGGTAGACTTTGTACAGTCCTCTGGTCAGAGCCGGGTCGATGATCAACTTGCAGCTTCTCCAGTGCTGGGGCGGTATCTGTCTTTCACATGTTAGTTTGTCGCTTTCCATCACATTAGTCAAAGCCTGGCGACATGATGACAAAACGATCGAACGAACAAACAGAACAAAACAAAACAAAACATTGTTAGATCGCTTCCTGCCGGTTGAATCCGCCCCGGCAGGTGATGAGGGCGGTGATGGAGAGAGCATCACCTGAGACGAAGTCGCTTCAGTAAAAAAAACCCACAAAAACAAACCGTTTTAAAACACGGCGTCGATACAAAGTAGTTCTAGATCAACTGCGTACGAAACTGAGCTACTTACCTGCAACGAAGGTTTATTCTTTCCTGGAACAACATTGTTTTGAAAGCTGATGTAATTTTCGCAGTCATCGCCCAGGTCGGATGATGGATTCATCCGCCAGGAGGCAAGGATGGGGAAAAAAAATAGAGCCGGGGGAGCGAGGCGGAGCAACATTAGGTT